TAATATGATGACTGGCACATAGTGGATGTTCAATAAATGAAAAATTGATCAACAGATGAGAGGGAAAATTTGGATAGATAGCAGGAGGGTGATCTAGGTAAAGGCTTACCTATTCGAGGGTGACCTTTGCAAAGTCCTACTGATTCCTTCATTGGCTGTAGACTCCTGGACTCCACTGCTTCCTATTTGCTGGGGAAACACCTTCTCACTCTTGTGGTTGTTCCCCTGATTTCATGAGGATGAGTCTGTAGTTTCACATTCATTAAAGCTCCTTCTTTTCTCCAAAGAGCACAGCATTGTGGAACTCATTACTTACCAGCTTCTAGGACTTGCCATGGGGATCAGATGCTGCCTGTGGTGTGTTCAGTTTCATGGTACCTTAATGTTAAAGGAAGGGGTTGAGTAACTTCTCTTTCTGAAAACCACAACATATTATCAAGAAATCTTAATGGATATAATTTTGAAAGGATAAAAGACATGCATATATATATATATTTTAAATGAAAATAGCCTTAACATCTTTTTACATGTAAAAATATTAAATATTCATTGTAGAGTATCATACATTTTTATATGGATATAGTGAATAGGGATTCAGAAAGGTAGAAATAGTTTCTAGGGAGTTAAAATGCATCTTTTCTGACAACTAGAGTCAATTTTAGGTGCACTTCACTTTGCATTATCAGGAGCTGGCCAAAAACTTTAGAAATGAATCTACGAGTAGAGACCCAAGAAAAAATAGATTCTTGCTCAGACTGTAGTACTGAGGGGAAGCACTATATAAGATCAGAAGGGCCTGAAGGAGAATTCACTCACTTGATCTCAGAGCAAATAGATAGGGTTGCCCACAGTACCAGGAGCAAGATGAACCCAAGTGACACAACAGCCATGCAAAAGTACCTCAGTCAACAAAAGGAGAGAGGGAGGGAAGGAAGGAAAAAAGGAAGGGAGGGAAATATGAAGTCAAAGACAGCAAAGAACCAGGGCCTGTAAGTCAAGAACAGATAGCCAAAGACAATCCAACATCTGGGTAACTGATCCCAAGTAGAAAATTTACCAAAGGGAACAGAAAAATTATTTAGAGGTACAAGCCAGAAAAAAATTTATGAAATAAAGAACTAAATAGATCTGAAGGGCACACTATAGACCAGGAAATATTAATACACAGTAATCAATATTGATTGTCATTACGTAAGAATCAACATTAACACACATCCTGGTTAAGTTATTGAATTAAAGAAAGAATTCTTCAAGTATCCAGGAAGGGTAAAAACAAGTTGTCCCTCCAGGAATGGGCAGGGAGGAAGCAAGATGGCCTCAGACTTCTCTACAATGACAGAAGCCAATGGAACAAGTTTGGCGAGTTCTGAGAGAAAGTTTAAGAACATTCATTACACCAGTGAGGTTGTCATTCAGATATAAAGGCCACAGATAAATGGTCTCAAATATGAAAGAACTCATGAAATACTGACACCCCCCCCCACCACATACCCAGAGCCATTTTGGCAAAAGATCACAAAGTGATGGAATTCAGCCAACCAAAAAATGAACCAAGATCAAATCTTAGGGATGGAGAAGTCATGGTAACAGGACTGGTGGTGAGCAGCTAATCCATTTCAATAAAGAGTTAACACTAGGGCCGGCCCCGTGGCTTAGCAGTGAAGTGCACGTGCTCCGCTACTGGTGGCCGGGGTTCGGATGCACCGCTTCTCCGGCCATGCTGGGGCCGCGTCCCACATACAGCAACTAGAAGGATGTGCACCTATGACATACAACTATCTACTGGGGCTTTGGGGGAAAAATAAATAAATAAATAAAATTATAAAAAAAAAAAAAGAGTTAACACTGAACAGCTAGGGGAATTATGACTGGAGAACAGAGCACGGTTACAAACGCAAATGAAGTAACAATAACGTAAACAACAGTAGGAGGCGGTGGAAGTGCAGTAGTGCTAATCATCCTTCACGGGGGCTGTCAGCTGTCAAAAACTATCTAACATTGAAACAAGTAGTTCAAGTATTTTATTTTATTTATTTATTATTTTTTTTTAAATAATTTTATTTATTTATTTATTTTTCCCCCCAAAGCCCTAGTAGATAGTTGTAGGTCATAGTTGCACATCCTTCTAGTTGCTGTATGTGGGACACGGCCTCAGCATGGCCAGAGAAGCGGTGTGTCGGTGCACGCCCGGGATCTGAACCCGGGCCGCCAGCAGCGGAGCGCGCGCACTTAACCGCTAAGCCACGGGGCCGGCCCGAGTTCAAGTATTTTAAAGTCTCAATTCTCTTAATTATTTTCATAATTTTTTTTTAACCTCAGAAGGATCTTTAGGAATTCATTTTTCCTGTGGCAAAGAAACACTTATTTGAAATTCAGCAATTCCTTCAGCTTCATCTCAGTTTCCTTTTCTTCTGTGAAATTCAAATAAAATCAGGCTTAACGCTCTATTTTTTAAAAAGTGTGTAGAGTATGGTATCATTCTTTTAAAATTATTTATGCCTTATCTATCTGTCCATCCATCCTATCTGCATACCTGCATAAAGAAATGTCCATTACAACCATCACCAAATGTTAATACTAATTATTTTTAGTTGGTGGAATTTTGGACAGTTTGTTGCTTTGTTCTTTGTATTTTTCTTTTTGCCTATTTTTTTTTTTTGATTTTTTTTTTTTTGATTGCAGTAACATTGGTTTATAACATTGTAAAAATTTCAGGTGTACATCATTGTACTTCTATTTCTGCATGGACTACATCCTGTTCACCACCAAAATACTAATTACAACCCATCACCACACACATGTACCGAATTATCCCTTTCACCCTCCTCCCTCCCCCCCCCCGCCTTCCCCTCTGGTAACCACCAATCCAATCTCTGTCCCTATGTGTTTGTTTATTGTTGTTATTATCTACTACTTAATGAAGGAAATCATACGGTATTTGACCTTCTCCCTCTGACTTATTTCACTTTGCATCATGCCCTCAATGTCCATCCATGTTGTCACAAATAGAAGTACAATGATGTACACCTGAAATTTTTACAATGTTATAAACCAATGTTACTGCAATAAACAAAAAATTTAAAAAAA